AAACATGAGATGTAAATCTTTCTAAAACTAAGCAAGTTTGCTTGCATAGTGTTGGATGGGAGACTTTCTGGAAACACTATGTATGTTGCATCATGTAACATTTTTAATTGCTTATGATAAATAGGCCTCTATCATCATATGCAAGAGATACAATGCATCATCATCATCATCATCATCATCATCATCATCATTATTATTATTATTATTATTATTATTATTATTATTTAGAAATTGGTGTCATGGTTTATTATGTATTATCATCATACAGAGTCATTGAATAACCTTACCAATCTAGGATCAATTTCTTCATTTAGAACAGCTTCATTCTTAATAAGAGCAACTCGCTGAGCAAATCTACAGGTTGATATAGATTCCTAAAAGAAGAAAACATCTTAACATGCAATTGTGTAAACAGCTAAGTTTTCTACAATGTAAGAATCAAACCAGCAATCTTTAAAATACTCTTGATATACTTTAAGAAAAATGAATGCCAAATGAATTGAATATTGATTAAAAAATACTTTTGCTCTATTATATCTGAGGACTGAATTAGATAATAAGTCAACTGTCATCTGCCAGCAAAACTGGCAGCCCAATATCCACTCCCATATTTCTCCATAACATTAAATTCCTGAGATAAATAATGTGACATTATTATAACATTTATTTGTGTGTTCCATCATTAATAGGTTGATGCTAATGGAGAACACAAACATTGATAATTACTATACATTTCAAGGACTAAAGAATAAGGAGATAAAAGCAGAAACACCTGTATGTGGTATTTCAATTTCCAGCAACAAATCAATATTTGGTGTCACATTATTTTAGTAACTGCAAATATTTCAAAATTATAATTATTTTCATAACGGATGATAAATTATTTTATAAATAATAAGTCAGCAGTGATGTAAAGTGCAATGTAGCACATTGACCCTTATTGACATATTTTCATTTTTTTAAAAAGATCTCCATACGGTCTTAAATTTCTTTAAGTATATCTTTGATGATCCATCTCTAGTTTCAAACCTAATTACCTCTTCTTTAACTTCAGTCATATTTTCTTTTTAAATTGCTGATGATCTACTAGCATATGGTTTACATCAATATTACCTATTTGTATAAAGACATTACTAACCAGCTTTAGCATACATCTTATTCTGCTTCAATATTGCTATGGAATTTAGTGACAATTCTATCAAGACTAATTTTTAAAAACAACAGTGCCATAAGATTATTTATTTATTATTTATTATGACAGCGAGAAAGACAAACCCTTCAAGGTTTATTTAAAGATATTTTTTTATTAGGGGACTTTCACATACAAATAAGTTTCATTGAAAAAAAAAAGTTGTTTTCCTTTTCTATTTTGTTTTTTACTTTGTGTCTGGTTGTGCACTCAAGTAGCTAAAAAGCAGCCAAGACGTTAAAAAATTGGACAAAAAACCTATTCTAAGAATGCTATGTCACTGTCAGATCATTATCATACTGCATCAGTTATGCATTGAAATTTGAGCAGGAAAATGATAATATTAATATTAGAAAACAATTAAAATGAGAAATGGAAAATGGGAAGACATACATCTATGTTCCTTTTTTCTACTGAGAGTGTTGCAATCATTGTTGTCATGCAATTCCCTCCGAGGCTGTCTCTTAGCACTGAAGTCATCATGGAGTTTCTGTATGGAATGTGAGATCTGTTTTTTTCTGACAGAGCAATGATTACCTGCAATGAGGATAATAGTTAGAAAACCTTATTAAGCTCTGATGTGTTGCTCTTGATTACTTAAGATGAGTCTTCCTAATATTAGAAAATTTACATTAAAATTGAGTGTTTTGCATACAATTGCACTAAACATAATCTTATAGCACATATTTGGAGTAATATAAACCAGTGTATATATTAATGTGATGTTAGCCACAACGACAATACAGCAGCTGCAGGTATGTATGCTAAGACTCCACTAATCTAGTGCTGGTGATTATGTTTAGGCACAATCACTTCATTGTTTTATAACAAAAGTAGACTAGCTATGATACATAAAAACTAAACCAATTCATGTGAAGGAAAGTTTTATTTATGTACTTTGGTTACATAATCTTACTGAACGTTTTCAGGAAGTACCATACTCTGTTTGACAAAGAAATTCAAAAGACCGCCAAGAGAACAATATTGAGGAAAGCAGCACAACTACTTCAACAGTTTATACATCTTGCAGACTTCATTGATCTTGTCACCACACTTGAAGGCCAGTCTGAGAAACTTTTTTGAGGTCATTAACTTTGTTATATTTTTTAGCCTCTGAAGGCTCCAGGCAGTATGATTAGTCATGCAATTACCTTGCTAGATTGATGGAACCCAATGTTTTGTCCTTGGGATATTAGGGATCCTCTCCAGAGCCAGTACTGTGAGAGTTATGATCACCTGATTAGGAAAATACCTTCACTGATGATAGATTATGATCTACTCTGCTACAAAGCATATGTCTTATACTGCACTGCCAAATGATTGAGACCCCACAGTTCAAAAAGCAAGTGTATTGCTCATTGAGATATTATTCATTTATCAACCTGTGTTTTCCAAGTGTTTCCTTGCTAACAAAAATATATTGACAGCCATGTAAAAGTACCCATATTTCAATGACTTACTGAAAAGCACTTCCTTGAAACTGTTCCACTATATTTGTTATGTAAAATAACATTACAATATTACTGATTGTCACTACGATATCTAAGAGCAGAGGATGGAAGATATTCAATTTTCCTAATCATTCTTAAATCTAGTAAATTGATTTAAAGGGCCACTTCTCCTTTTGATGACCAGCATTTTAAACAACTGATCTCTACGATGAAGCATTTATTGTTAACACCTTTTGTCTTGCTATTTTATCTTAACTTTGGCCTTCCATAAGCTTCCAAAGCCTCGCGAGAAAGCCACATGCAATTTGGACAAGGCTGCACATGGCCTCGGGAAGAAGGCCTGGCAGAGCCAGCAGCTGCCTCGCGGAGGGCCAGGCTGGGTGTGCCTCATCAGCAGTGGGAGGAAGAAGACAGCAAAACTCAGCTGGGGTGGCAGGGCCAGCAAAGCCCAGGGCCACAGGGCCGTCAGAGGCAGCAAAATGCAGGGTGGCCAAAAGGGCAGAGATGGGGGGGGACTGGCAGGGGGGGGGAGTTGAAGCGCCCCTGCAGTCCTAAGTGCCCAAATTTTTATCACGTGACTATGGGGGCACTTCAACGGCCATAACTTTGGGGACCGAGGTTAACTACAATTCATTCAGTGCTGCCGTAACTTCAAAGGGTCACTGAACAAATGGTAGTTGAGTGAGGATTACCTGTATATAAAATTACCATTATTAAATTTCATTATGTGTTATTGAAATGGTCTAAAAAGAAGGTCTATCAATTGGTACAATATACTAAAGTGTAGTAGACATTTTACCACAGAGAAGCCACACTGAGACCCATCATGTTCCTTGTCTAAATAAAAAATAAATCAAGTGCCAACTACAACAAAACATGAATATTCTAAAACAGTATGAAAAAATGAAAATTGCATCAGCTTTACCTGTTCCAAATAATGAAGAGACAGATTAATATATTTGGCCTCTGTCAGCTGCTGGCCTCCAACTCCAGTCTTTGCAACACGCTCTGAACCAGCCAGATCCACTAAGTGTAATTTGGAGCGCCGAATGGTTGCTGATCCTGGTTCTTTGCTTGAGATATGAATGGTGAAAATGCAATGTGAACGTGTGGAGGCTTGATTCATTGGAGTCTGTGAGAGAAAGGATTTCCTAAGCCTTATTTTTAATTCACAGTCTAAATGCTGCTGATTATTTAGAAATACAAAGTGGTTCAAGTTAAAACTGAGGTCACAATGATGCTTTGAAACTTACCAGGTACAACCCAAACACCTCATAAGAGTTCCACTCACAGTGGGCTGTACTGAAGGAAGGGGAAAAACAATGGTTGATTCCTCCTTCCCACTACACACCCTGCAAACAGTTCAAGGGAGTTTCTTATCTATCAGAACAGGTTTTCAGGGAACACCAGGGGGAGGGAGGGAGGGAGGGAGAGAGAGAGAGAGAGAGAGAGAGAGAAATATTTTAGGGCACAACTAATTTAATCTAGTCCAAAATCCCATTTCTCACAGTGGCCAACTAAGACTCTGGGAAACAAGCAAGACATAAAAGAAATATACTGCCAGAAATATTTGGCCTATTCTGCTTTTGAACAAGGAGATTTGCTTTGTTGCTCAGCCTGTACTTTTCTTTTTTTTTAAGCCATCTATGCCAACATGATACATTATCTCATTATCAGTGCCAGATTGGTCCTTCTCATCTGAGATCCTATGATCCCCTCCATGGATGAGAAGGCCAACCAGGTGTGTATCACTGAAACCTGGTTGTGTACAGTGGGAGGTGTTCATCTCTTGACAATGTGCCCACCTGGGTTTTGGGTTTGGCATCAATTGCAACCCCAGGGCAGGAGGTGAATAT